CACCCCCAGGCAGTTCCTTTTGGTGACACAGAGCTGGCAAAACATGGTGTCAGGGGCAAGAGGAGCAAAGGACCAGCATCCAGCAGGGATACAGTACATCACTTACCATGAAGGCAGACGAAATGTGGAGCTACAGAGCGATGAAGTGACGGGTAAGATGTGCTAGAAAATGTGTAAAAATGGCTCCAGTGGGCTTGAGAGTGAGGAGGAAGAAGTCCCCTCAGCAAACATCACACTTCTCCCAGCAGAGTCTTCAGGATGCTCCCTGACCTCCCCTTGAGGGCACAGGCCAGGAGGGGCTGTGGACAGCTGCCACTGCAGTCTGATACTGAGTGTTGTAGGGACTGGATATACCCTCAAAAAGAGGCAAAGCCCTCAGCAGACCTGGGAGTGGAAGCTGTTCCCTGCTGTGACCCATGGCTGCCTTGCCCCTAGCTGCAGGAAATCATCCTTTCACAGAAACAACCCTCTGTGGTTCAGTACCCTTAAGGATCCATCCTGGTTCCTGAGGTGTGACAACAGCCAAGGACACAGGCAGTTACAGACCTTCACCCTCTGCTGACCTTCTGACCCTGTACAGCTCACCCAGCCCCTGCCACCACACACTGCTGTCACCATCAGCCCTGCTGCATTTCCCTGGAACACCACACACGCTGTGCTCTCCTGCCTAAAGGGAAGCACCATCAAATCCAGTTGCTCCTTGCACCTCTCCACCAAGGAAACAACCGGGGAATGACAATAATGCAATGAGAGTGTTGACACAAGGAGAGGAAGGGGCAGAACCGTGTGTCTGTGTGTTTGGACCAGGTCCAGCCACTTTGTGCCCAAGCTCCTGACATCCTTCCTGGAGCAGAGGAGCAGTCAGGCCTAACCAGGGCAAAGGTGATACTGGGGAGAAGTTTTAGGGCACCCTGCATGCCATGCTTCCCCAGGGAGGTCACCCTGCCCCACTGACTGCAGGCTGCCCACCCTTCCCAGCACAGGAACCAGCTCCCCATCCTCTTCTTCACCAGCTGCAGTCAGGATGTGAAACACCCGCCTGTCCCCCACCCCTGTTTTCCAGCAAGTGCAAGGAATATTTACCACCCAGAACCACCAACAGAATTATGGCTGGATGTCTTTAATGTTCAAGATACATCACGGTGACCTGAGGAAGAACCAGTAGTAGGAACTGCTCAAACCACCTGTTTGGGTAGGAGCTAGAGAGGTGCTCCCTAGTGCCCACTGCTTCCCATGGACACCTCCAGCTTTTCCAGCCTGGAAAAGAATGTTTTCTGACAAACTTTGTCAGAAGAGCCACCTCTGATCTTTCCAGTGATTTGGTTTACAGCACGACAATGAGCATGAAAACACATCAGCATGTGCCAGAGCCACAACTCTGGAGACTTTCCCTCTGTAACTCATGAACGTTGGGCTCCTGCTTTTCCCACACTGATGCTTCAGTACTGTAATGCCACACAGAGGGATGGATTGACAACCACGAGAGGACCCTGGAAAGCTCTCTCTGCCCCTGGGCTGAATTTATTCCAAGCACGCAGCAACCTCTGGAGTCTGCGGCTGGAAGTGGCACAAGACGCTCCAGAACAGGCAGAGAGCAATCCTAGACAGCAGGACATGGTGTTTCCTGCTGTGCCACCGCCTCAGGCTCTGATCAGGATCACAGAAATCCACAGTGGAAAACACAGGGAATTTCCTTTTAACATTCTTGTGCTGGGACAAAACATGACCCAGGCTCTGGGTTATAAGATAACGAGGGCTGGGCTCCTGCACACCCCACACAAAGTCTTTGGCACACTCAGGTCACTGCTGTGAAGCTTCTCTCCCTCCAGGCAGCAGCAGCACAGCACAGGTGAAACCATCACAACAAGGAGAGAGAGAAGCTTCTGAGAGATCTTCAGTTCTTAAAACACTTCAATATTTAAATAGGCAAGTACTCTCATGTGCAAATGATGCTCAGATATGTGTATAACAGCTAATGGCACTTGGTGCTCCCAGCTGCACCCCTCCCAAAGGCCTCAGAGGGAGGGGCTTGTGCAAAGTTCCTGGCAGGCCCTAGACAGGACAGAGAACTTCAGACATGGAAGTGTTTTGGGGAGCACTTCCAAACAATGTCACACACTGAGCAGGACGTGAGCCACCAGAGACCCAGGTTTCATCCTTCCAGGCCAAGTCTGAAGCCAACACTTCTGTACTCACCACCCTGAGCAGGGTCAGACAAGGGCAGTGATGCAGTTTGGATATCAACATTCCTAAAATCCCACAGAGGTGTAGTACCAGCAGGTGTGACAGCACAGAGGTGGCAGGTCTGGGATTAGCAGAAACTGCAGAGCCACACGTGAGCACGGGTGAGCGCAGCCCTGAACACACACAGCACACACCACCTCTGACAGCCTTTAATCTCTGCTGCAGCTCACAACAGGCACCTGGGGCACACCAAGGTCACACAGTTGTGCCAAAGGAGGGGACACGCCCCAGTCCAACGTCTAGGAGCCATGTTTACCTGGCAGGCCCTGTGTCTGCAGGTGGTATCAGCTGAGGGGGCACATCAGAGCCCGTGGGGCTCTCGTACCACCTCTGCAAGGTCACGCTGGTGACACAGCACAGGCTGTGGAGCAGAGCCCACAGAGGGTATCCAGAGGTCACACCAATGCCACATCCTGTGCCGGCCAGGGGCACTCTGTATCTGAAGGTCACACTGGCAGAGGAGCCAGGTCACAGCCCACGGAGTCCGCTGGTCATGTATCGTCCCTAGAGGTCACATCGGCAGAGTGAAATGTCACAGCCCGACAGCAGACACACGGTGTTTGCCAACTGTAGGTGCAGGGGGCACCCCCAGCCCTCTGCCAAGCCCCCTGGTGAGACCGGGGAGCTGGGGCGCCCCGCTGTCACTTGAGGCCGTAGATGATGGCAACACCCATGAGAAAGATGAGCCCCAGGGACAGGTTGGAGAGAGCCCTGAGGCGCCCCTGCTCCGCGGCCTCCTCCCGGCGGAGGCGCAGCTGCTCCCGCCGCGCCCGCAGCAGCTGCTCCCGCTCCAGCTGCTCCCCGTAGTGCGCTCGGTAGAAGGCGTCGAAGTTGAAGGGCGGCGGGATGGGCCCGGTGCGGGCGGCGGGGGCGCGGGGCGGCGACGGGGCGGCGCTGGCGCCGGGCGGGCGGCCCGCGGGCCGGGGGGCATCGCGCAGCTCCTCGGCGCTGAGCAGCCCGCGGTCGTACTTGCGGCGGAGCGCGGCGCTGCCCAGCACCCGGTAGGCCTCGCTGACGGCGGCGAAGCGCGCGGCGGCGGCCGCGCTGCCGGCGTTGCGGTCGGGGTGGTAGCGGAACGACTGCTCGTAGTACGCCGTCTTGATCTGCGCCGCCGTGGCCGTGCGCGGCACGCCCAGCACCTCGTAGAGGTCGCGGCGCGGTCGCGGGGCCCCGGAGCCGCCGGTGTGCGCGGAGCGGGAGGGCGGCGCCGGCGGCGGCAGCGGCGGGGCCGCGGCGAGGAGGAGCCGCCGCAGCCGCCCGAGCGCCGCCGGCTCCATTGGGGCCTCTCAGCGCCCGCCCGCCGCCGCCATCGTGGCCGCCGCGGCGCGCGGCACTGACGTCACGGGGGGGCACGGCCGGGGGGCGGTGATGTCACTCGGAGGCGTGCCCGGCTGGACGGTGACGTCACGCAGATGCATGACCGGCGAGACGGTGGCGTCACGCGGGATGAGCAGCGAGGTAGTGACGTCACGGAGACGAATAACCAGCTAGGCGGTGACGTCACGCGAAGGCATGAGCAACGAAGCAGTGACGTCAGGCGGCGGCGCGGCGCGCGGCAGTGACGTCACGAGGAGGCGGCAGCATGGCGGGCAGCGGGCGCCGGCCCGAGCACCGCGGGCCCCCCGAGCTGGTGAGCGGCGGGACTGGAGGGGAGGAGCGGGGAGGGAACCGAGCCCTTTCCGGGGCTCCCTCCGGGGTCCCCCCCGGGGTCCTGGGCCTCACCGCCCCCGCCGCTCTCTCGTTGCAGTTCTACGACGAGGCCGAGGCGCGCAAATACACGCAGAAGTACGGCGGGACCGGGGCTGCGGTGCCGGCAGGGGCCCATGGTGGTCCGGGCAGGGGGGTCTCGTCATGGGGCGGACACCGTGGCTGGGGGGAATCGGGCCTGGATCCTGCTGGGGTCGGGAGGGCCCGGCCCTGCCGTGAGGCATTGGCGGGGTGGGAGGGGAGGGCGCGGGAGGGGATCACATCCTGCCATGAGAGGGTGCGAGGGGGTGTCGCTTGTCGCCCGTGCTCTCTCCCTGTCTCGCAGCTCGCGGGTGGTGGAGATCCAGTCGCAGATGTCGGAGCGCGCCGTGGAGCTGCTGGGGCTGCCCGAGGACCGGCCGTGCCTCCTGCTGGACGTGGGGTGAGCGGGGCTCTGCAGTGGCACACACCGAGCGCCTGGGGCCGGGGGGGTGGGAGGGGTGTGTTGTGGTGGGTGTCTCTTGTGAGCTGAAAAAAGGGACAGGCTGCTGCAGCGCTGTGTCTGGCCAGCAGCACCCTCAGACCAGCCCGGTGAACTCTGCGCTTTCCCCGCTCCTCCCTCCAGCTGCGGGTCAGGGCTGAGTGGGGATTACATCTCTGAGGAGGGGCACTACTGGATTGGCATGGACATCAGCCCTGCCATGCTGGGTGAGCAGACCCTCCTCCCCTGGCACACCCACCTCGCCTCAGAGGTCCCTGAAGGCGGGAGCTGGTTGCCTGAACCATACTCTGTTCTCTGCAGATGTGGCTGTGGAGAGGGAGGTGGAAGGAGACCTGCTCCTGGCAGACGTGGGTCACGGCATTCCCTTCAGGCCTGGCATGTTTGACGGCTGTATCAGGTGAGTCTGTGCCCATAACTGAGCTCTCCTGGTGCTCCACAGAACTGCACAGCACATGTGGTGCATGTCTGGTGCATCACAGGTGGGCAGCACTGCCCTTGTCACCTGCTCTTTGCTCCCTGTGCTACTTCGCTCCATCACTCTGGGGCAAACCTCCAAGATTTTGGATGTAGAGGCAGCAGCTCCTGGCAGCTGTTTCTCAAGCACCTTTTGTGCTGGTGAGTTTGGAATTTTGTTGAAGGAAATAAAATTGAGGATATGGTCAGGAGGGCTGAGACCTGCACCAAGGAGGAGAACAAAGTGTGTCTGTAGCGTTGCTCAGCAAGGTCGGTCCCTGGATCAAAGGTTTGGTGGTTGGTTTTGGGATGGAGGGGACAGAAGCACTTTTCTGCTTAGAGAATAGCTCAGGAAGGTGCTGGGAAGGAGCAGGGACTGTCCATTGCTGATCCAAAAGCTCTGGTTTGGATTGCTCATTGGGAAAACCTCCTTGGCCAGGCAAGGGTCACAACTGAGCTCTTGAATTATTATCAGAAGCTGTAGTGATAGGATAAGGAGTGATGGGTCCAAACTGAAGGAGAGGAAATTGAGGTGACATATACAGCAGGAATTCTTCCCTGTGAGGGTGGGGAGGCCCTGGCACAAGTTGCCCAGAGAAGCTGTGGCTGCCCCATCCCTGGAATTGTCCAAGGCCAGGTTGGATGGGGCTTGGAGCAACCTGATCCGGTGGCAGGTGTCCCTGCCCATGACAGGGGCTGGAATGATCTTACTCTCAATGGTCCCTTCCAACCCAAACCATTCCATGATCCCAAGATTTTAGCACCTGGCTTAAAGGGAATGCTTGGTGACGCTTTTGGCCTTGAATAACTACTGCACGTTGTTGGGATTTGGCGTAGTGAGTCTCCAGAGGGGTTTGTGTAACTGCAAAACAGAAGGCAAAGCTACATGAAGGAAATAAAATAATTTCCCTGAGGCCCAGCACATGGTTGATGCTGGAATTCAGCTCAAAGGGAGGTGACAGGCTCTGGGAAGGAACTGATGACTCAGTGTCCTGAGGGGGGTCTTGTTTTGCTCCTCAGTATTTCCGCAGTGCAGTGGCTCTGTAACGCTGACAAGAAATCACACAGCCCCCCCAAACGCCTCTACAGATTCTTCTCCACCCTTTACACTGCCCTGGTAAGTGCCACACTCTCCCTGCCAGGCCTCTCCTGCTCTTACCTCCTTGCTCATGCCTTTTAGCAAGATATTTTAAGTCAGGTGTTTTAAGTAAATGCTGCTCTGAGGCAGGACTGGCAGGAGCACCCACTGCCTTCTGTGATCCCTCTTGGCTCACTGGCTCTGGGAGCCTTGCCATGGAGGTTTTGGGGAGGTGGGAGCTCGTGTGTGGGGCAGGGATGGGGTGACCAGAGGGGTTGTCTGCACTGACACAGGTTTGTGACCAGCTTTATTTCCTGTAGGCCCGAGGATCCCGAGCTGTGCTGCAGCTGTACCCCGAGAACTCAGAGCAGGTACAGGCCATCAGTCAGCGAGGAAGGGGTGTGGGTGCTGTTTGGGGCTCTGAGTGCATCGTGTTCCTCCACATCAGCTCTGTGTCTCTGTCCTTCCTGCCATCTGGAAGGCTCCTTGAGAGCTCAGAGAAATAACCTGTAAGGAGAACACCCTGTGCAATTTCTGTTGCTTTGTAGATTGTCTTGAGCTGAGCCTTAAAATCAAAGAAGGTGGCAGGACACCATCTGAACCTGCTATCCTGGATTTTCTCCTATGTGTCTGGGCTGTAGTCACCAGCACTGCACTGTAACTCCCCAGGACTGGAAAATCCAGCCCAGTATCCCTTTCCAAGAGAGTTAACCCAGAGTAGACTGAGGAGCAGGGAGAACCAAACAAAGGCAGGGAACTGGTGGCTGGATGCATCTGGGGGATGCACAGTCAGCTGTGGTCCTCTCAGAGGTATCCTGGGCATTCCTGAGGGATCACTGCTAATTAATTTTTGCACGTGCTTCTCTTTCTAGTTGGAGCTCATCACAGCCCAAGCCATGAGAGCTGGATTTACTGGGGGAATGGTGGTCGATTACCCAAACAGTGCCAAAGCCAAGAAGTGAGTCCTGGGTCTCTATGGGTGTGGTTGGGCTGAGGCTTGGGTTTAGCAGTGATTTTTCTTTTTTTCTCAAGCTATTCTCTCTCTTATGATAGAGTCCTAGACAGAGGTTACAGCTTAAATCTGATTCTCTTATAAACCATCCCAGTCTTGCTTGGAACTGAGACCCACATGCTGAATCCCACCTTCATGCTCTTTATTCTTGTTCTTTCAGGTTCTTCCTTTGTCTCTTTGTCGGGGCATCTGGCATGTTGCCAAAGGTGAGGAGCTCCAGGAGGCAGCAGAGCTGCTGTCCTGGCTGCTGGGTGATGTGGAAGAGCTGTGGGCAGAGTGGGAGCCAGGTAGCTCTGCATGGGCAGATGTGACTTCATGTATACATTTGCTGCCAGTCACCAAGCCCTTCTCTCATAGAATCATGGAATGGTTTGGCTTGGGAGGGACTTCAGCTCATTCCACCCCCCTGCCATGGGCAGGGACACCTTTCACTATCCCAGGTTGCTCCAAGCCTTGTCCAACCTGGCCTTGGACACTTCCAGGGATGAGGCAGCCACAGCTTCCATGGGCAACCTGTGCCAGGGCCTCACCACCCTCCACAGGGAAGAATTTCTTCCCAGTATCCAATCTAGCCCTGCCTTCTTTCAGTTTAAAACTATTCCCCTGACTTGTGCTTTCTTTGGTACAATTTCTGGAAGACCAGTTTGTTCCTGCTCCACTCCTTCCCTTTGCAAATCCCTGTGTTCCCCTTAATTCCGATGGTATGGCTGTCAGCTGTGTCTGCTCCAGAGGAGAGCACAACTTCCCAGTTTTGCTTTCCAGGGCCTTGGTACAGAGTGTGCTGATGAAGAGTTGCACCAGGCAAAGTTCACCAACGAGAGGTATCGTATGGGGGTGAAGCTGCAGGTTCTCCTCAGCAAGGAGTGGGAAAAGCTGGGTTTTACTGGGGACCACAGCGCTGCTGTGTGAGACGTGACGGGAGGGGAGGGACTGGGAGGACCCTTGGCAGCCCAGTTGGGCACTGCTTTATCTTCCCCAAGGGCCCAGACACAGGGAACAGAACTGGTTAGTTTGGAGGGCTCTGCCATGAGGCTGTTGGTGCTTTCTGTCCAGCACTGGGCTCTCCAGCTGGGATCAGTGGTGTGGAAGTGGGAATATTTACAGGGATGGTGATGCCAAGCATGGAGGCAGGCTGCCTTGCCTGAATCCTGGTGTTCCCTTTTTCCTGTTGTCCAGTTCTTTGCTTGGCTCTGCTTAGCTGTGACCTGAGGGGTTTCTCCTGCTGTCCAGGTCTCCTCCCATGGCAGTGGTGCAGGGAGGAGCCCCTCTTGCAGCCAGTGGGAGAGACAGAGAATAAAAACCAGAGGAAAGTCGTCGTGGCTGCCAGGAGCTTGTGGCTGCCATGTTTTCCTACCTCTTACACTGGTGTTCTCTGTTCACTTAGTCCAAGGGGTACCTGGTCTTGGAGAGCAGTAGCAGTACTGGGAAATTTTTGGGAAGCCAGAGACTTTGCCTTGTTTGGAGTAGGGCAGACAAGGGGAAGGTGGTTGTGCTTGAGTCCGTAATCCCCCGAGATCCCAGAGCCCAGCATGCTGCTGGTGTGTCAGGTATGGCACAGGGGGCCTGCTGCAGTCTGTAAAGGGTTGATATCCCTCAGCTCAGAGCCTGGGCTGGAAGCAACCTTCTTCCCCAGCTTTCTGGAGTTGGACCATTTGGCATCTGCCCCATCTGCTGTCTGAGCTTCTCATCCGGGGCTGGTGGGAGGGGAACTCGCTGCTTTTGTGACCCAGTTCTGGGTGACAATCCTTTGGGGCAGAGAACTGTGCCCCCACACCTCAGTTCCTCTCCAGCTGCTGTCTGCTTTCTCTGTAGGACACGGTTCAAGAACATCAAGGGCAAGTCTGTGAAGAAAAGCCGGGACTGGATCCTGGAGAAGAAGGAGCGTAGACGACGACAGGGAAAGTGAGTTCAGCTGAGGCTGGTCTGGCCTGCTGTCACCTGTCCAAACTCCTGCCCCAACCCCTCTCCCTTCCCCTCCCAGGTGACCTGTGGGTGGTGCTGAGCTGCTCCCTGCTTTTCCCCACAGGGAGGTGCGAGCAGACACGAAATACACGGGTCGGAAGCGCCGCCCTCGCTTCTGAATTGCTCTGGACGCCGCTGCTGTGGAAGGTGGCATGTGGGTGCCTCCAGCGAGCCTCCTGTGGATGGCACAGGTGGGCACTCCACGCCTGGAACTTGCTGGGACACGTCATTGTGGCTCTTGATGGTGTAAACTGGCTCAGGTGCTGCCCAACAGCCAACTGCAAAGCTTCCAGCCCTGCTTGCCTGCTGAAGGTGGAGTGGCAGACAGTGCTCTGGCCACTTGGTGTCTGCGATGCTGTCACTTACCTTCCTGAGTGCAGCAAGCCAGCTGAGCTCCAGGTCAGCCAGGACATGATATCCAGCCTCCTCACTAAAGAGTCAACGAGTTGGAGGTGTTTGGTCTCCTGTGTCCTGCTTCTGTGCTGGGGAGTACTGAGGTGGGAATATGGCACCTAGTTCCCTGCCAGCTTCCCCTCTGCAGGCAGGGAGTCAGGCACTGTAAAGCTGTGGATCCCATGAGGGCAAAGCTTCCTCCTAGCAGAAGTGTTATTCCTGGGGGCATTGCTCCCGAGGGTGCTTGGCATCCTGTTTGCTTTAATGCTCCCAGGGTACTGGGGCTGGCTGTACCCCGTCACCTCTTCCCTTCCCCTGAAACAGAAAGGTGCCAGCCAGAGCTTTACAGTTACAAATGTTTATTCTACATAAAAATTCCACAAAATGGGAAGCTGTTTTGCACCCAAAGCTTTTGGAGAAGAAAGGGAGGCTAGCAGGGAGGGAAAAGGGGGAAGGAGAAAAGAGGCAACATACAGTGTCATCCAGCCCAGTGAGACAGAGCAAGCCAGGGTCAAGATCCACATAGAAAACAAGGACACTTAGCTCACAGTACAGCAACAGTACAACTCCACGGGGGGCTCGGAAAGCCTTCAAGTACATTAATTACAAAAAAAACCAATCCCCAGTTCGAGTGCAAGCTGTGCGTGCCCCACACTGCTCGTGGAATACTGCATCGACACGCTCCCGGCGCGGGGAGGGCAGGTGGCACTTGGAACAGAGGTGGTGGAACCCAAAGGACAAGCGGGCGGAGGTTGGGGGCTGGAAAGAAAAAAGTGAAATGTCTTCCCAAAGCACAACCACACTTGGTGATTTGGTCTGTACATGCAACAACAGGTAGGTAAAAAGGAACTGAACGGGGCTTCCCGTAGTGCAGGGGTAATTATTGCACCAAAACACCCTCCCCTCACAGCGAGGACAGTGTGAGCCTGCCTGTGGGGCAGCAGTGGCAGCCTGCTCCTCGCCTCCCTCGCCTCGGAGCCTGGCTGTGCCACGGCCTGCAGGATCCCAGCAAAGTGCCTGCGGCCCAGACTGGCCCCGCCCGGCTCCTGCTGCTGGGGGGCTGCTGGCAGTGGTGGTGCCAACAAGGAAGGAGCAAGGGCCAGAATTCCTCTTGTGCCTTGACAGGGGTGCCACAGCCCTGATGTCAGGTGAGCATGTGCCACAAAAGCCGCTGCTTGGAAGAAAAACAAAAGTCACCTTGTGCTAGCAGTGGGCATAGCTGCAGGGCGGGAGCTTGCGAGGAGGATTTTCCTGCCTGCCCAGTGTTATTGCTTCCCGGAGGAGGGGCCCGAGGCTCTCGCTGGCCCGGCAGAGCGAGCGCAGGCGGCCGTGGCAGGGAGCTGCATGGGGGCAGGAGCACGGGCACTCAGCATTGCCTCCAGCTCCCTTGCCTGCAGCCAGACATGTCCCCCCAGAGCAGGGACCTTGCCCGTGCCTCCCTCCTGCCCCTGCCTGCGCTGTCCCGGTGCCCCAAGCCCTTCGGCCCACGCAGGCTGCAGTGCTGGAGCTCACATCCATTGGTGCAGGACCGTGAAAGGGGGCTCTGGCCTTGGATGTTCCCGTGGCCGCACCCCAAGGGGCTTGGGCTGGGCAGTGTGGGGGACCAGGCTGGACTCGCTTCCCAAGGGCGGCTGGATGCAACCAGGAGCTGTACAGTGGGACCTCGGGTGACAGTGGCAGGGAAGGAGCCGTGTCAGGGCTGCTGCTGGGCAGGGCTGGCCCTGGGGGACGCAGTGCTGTGTGGTTACAGCCACTGCCTTCCCCTCGCACCCATGGGCACCACACAACCAGTGCCTGAGCCACAGCACCCCGCCAGCTGCTGGAGCAGCCCTGCCCCGACCCCGGTGGGAGCAGGGAGGTGACACTGCCCGTGGCTGGAATACTGGCTGCTGTCAAGTGCCCCTTTTCTGCTACCAGCACCTGGGCTCACAGCCCTGTCCCAGTGCATGGCAGTGAGCCTGGCCTCAAGTGCCTCCCCTGCTTGGGGCTCCTCTGGGGTGCTTTGGCATGTGCACGGGCCAGCCGGAGCCCTGGGCCCTCTGGAGGAAGATGAGGGCAGAGCCCTGTCCCCGGCCCCAGGGAAATGGGCAGTGGCAGCACAGGACCCCTCTGAGCTGCCAGCAGGACCCCAGAGCAGCTGCATCCATCTCCTGGGCATGGCAGAGGTGCTCCCACAGCACCCCACCGAAGGCAGGTGCCTCACGGGATGGCCAAGCAGAAGGGCGCTGTGCCAGGGGCAGGGGGGTGCCAGGAGGTGGCAAAGAGGCAGTCAGGCACTGGCCTGCTCAGGAGCTGGTTGGATACAGGTGGAGGAAGGCTGCTACCCCTCACTTGCAGGGGAGTGGATGCAGCAAGGGCTTCTCCTGGGACCACAACAGGAGAGAGCCCAACTACCTCCAACCCCTGGCCTGTGTGGAGAAGCCAGAATGGAGCAGGCAGGTGCTGCCAGGGGCTGTGGGCATCAGTGCCAGCCCCAAATCCCAGCAATAAAGCCCAGGCCTTGGGGCAGCGGGAACCAGGACCACTGTGTGCCAGGGCTGAGAGCAGAATGATGAGGCTCCGGTGCAGGGCGAGCAGACAGCAAAACTCACCGGCTGTAAACTACCTGTGCCATCCTGCCCTGCCAGGCCAGCAACCAGGTGCAGCACAGGTCCCCACATGGCCTGTCCCTGTCCCCAGGCAAGTGTGATGGCCCCAAGCAGCAGCTGCTTATCCCACCCACACTGCTCCATCAGGCACCCACCGCCCAACAGCAGCACATCCAGCCCCTGGCACCTGCACCAGAGCGAGGGCTCTCCTGGGGAGGGGACAGCCCTGCCACTGGCGGAGTGACAGGGACGGAGCCCCAGAGCCAGGCACAGCCACGGGACAGGTAGGGCCGGGCAGAGCACACCCCTGGGGAAGGACCCCGGAGAGAAGCAGCCCAAGGGAAGGTGTTCGCAAGCACAGACGCAGCTGACAGATATGAGAGCTCTGGCTAGAGGTGATGAGGAAGCTGGGGAGGTTGACTGGGCACTGTGCTCCCTAAGACCCTTAACACCTGCCTCCTGTCCCTCCTCATCCTCAGCTGTCTCTAACACAGACTGCCCAGCACAGGAGGAGCAGCAGCGCCACAAGGGCGCCTCTGTCCCCACCCGGTCCCAGCCAGCCACCCGGGCTGGAGCAGTGATGAGAGCTCGGGTTCCCCACTCCAGGGTCCCCCTCGTGCCCATCACCGTCCCGCGCCCCCCGCCTGCGCCCCGGGGCCGGCGCTCCCTCCACACAGACGCACCGCACCGCACACACAGCGTCACAAACAACCATGCATTAGAAACTGAAATGCTGCTGGGAGGCTCCGGGGCTGCGTGGGTCGCTCCGGTGTGGCTGCAGCCCCATGGCACGCGCGGCTCCGTCCATCGCACACAAACAGTCCCGTGGGGTGAGTTTAGCCGAAAATGCCGCCGAAGGTGGAGGCGATGACGATGCCCAGGATCACGCAGCAGATTATGATCATGATCTTCTTCTGCTCAGGTGTCCCGGTGGTGGCAGGGAGAGAGGGGAGAGGGGATGGTGAGTGTTGGGACAGGATGCACCCAGGAGCCAAGGCTGCAGTCTGCCCTTGTTCCCCTTTGCCCCTGGTGGGCTCTGAGCAGCATCTTGGGAGCCAGAGGGGCTCTGGCTGCCCTGGGCAGGGATGAGCACCCCAGCTCCTACTTCAGCCCTGGGCTGGCCAAGCTGAGCTGGTGGCCCCTGGGTTTCTGTCTTGATACAGGACCGTGTTGGGAGCGGGACAGGCAGCTGGCACTGTGCTCAGTGTCTGAGCTGGACCATGCCTTTTCTCTACTTTTTTTTGGCAAGAGGCATGGCTCTCACAGCAGGCCTGGCCCAGGGGATCCACCCTGTCCCTTTTCCTCTCCCCAGGCAGCAGGCCTGCCCCATGGCTCACTGTCAGCTTTCATGCAGCCTGTCCTGGGAGCTCCGCCTCAGCCGTGCCACCCACAGGCCATGGGCTGCAGACAGTGGTGTGGGGTAACACAGTGCCCAGGCACTTGTGAGGCTGTGCCACCCTGCCCGGGGCAGGCAGAGGGGCAGGCAGGCTGCCAGCAGAGCCCTGCCCCAGGACAGAGGTGTCAGCAGTGCAGGCAGGGGCAGACAAGCCCCAGACAGAGCTGTGACTCACCCGTCTGGCTTTGCTCTGGTACTTCACCGCTTTTTTGGTGTCAGACACAGCCCTCTCCACGTAGTCCACCGAGTGCTCCACGTTGTACTCGATGCGGTCAATCATCTCTCCCTGCAGGGCGAGGACACAGCCCACGCGCCCGCGCGTGTGCCGGCGTGAGCTCCTTCCTGCTCCGCTGCTCCCCGGCACCGGGTGGGCGCTGCCCTGCCCGGCAGCCCTGCGTGGAGAGAGTGACTGTCAGCTGCCCGTGGGCTCTGGGTGCTCTGGGGTGCCCTGGGGTGGGAGCTCAGGACGGCGTGCCCTGTCCCAGAGGACCTCTGTGCACGTCCCAGCAGGGAGACAAGCAAGGGAGAGGGTTGAGGCGGTTCCCAGCCCAGTCCTGGCCTGGTGGCCACCCTGTCCAATATCTCAGGTGACATCAAAGCCACAACAGGGTCTACACAGACACCGCACCGCATGCCACAGAAAGCAGAGGCTGGGCAGGGAGCAAGGACATCCCCAGCAGTGCCACAGGGAATCCTCACGAAACCATGCACATGCAGGGACCACCACTCCAATCCACACAAGCGCTGCTGTGCTCCCTCCTCCAGGGGCAGGCTGGAGGTGTGGGCTCCTGTGGATGTGGGGACATGGGCTGGGGTGAGCTCCCGCAGCCTGTCCACCTCCTTTGACCCCATCCTGACTGTGCAGGGAAGCAGCCAAGTCCTGCAGCAGCTGGACAGGGCTGGCAGGGGCCAGTAGCTCGAAGCCCAGTGCCCTCCTGCATGGCATGGAGGTAACTGGAGCCGCAGAGCTGGGGGCTCATGGCCAGCAGGTCTGCAATGCCCGTTTCTCAACCTAATGCTGGAGAGCATGGGGAGGACAAGCCTTGAAGCCCAGGGTTGCTGTGGTGTTACCCCCCAAGCACTGATTCCACCAGCTGTTCCTTGCCTTACCTAAAGGTGCTGCTTTCCTTCCCACCTGTGCTATTCCTGGGGCAGAGCAGAGCTGCCAGCCCTGCTGCCAGCCTGGCATCCCTCTGCTCCCAGTGCTGGCAGCTTGGAACCTCTCACCCCACAGGGCAAGGCAGGGTGCTGGCACTGACCAGCCCTTAGAGCAGGGCAGGGAACAACAAACCCCACACATCTGTCATGCAGGAGCAGCCATGCAGAGCAGAGCATGCAGCACCACGGGGCTCGGCCAGTGGGCCTTTACCTGCCACTGATGTCTCCTCGGGCCGTGGCAGCATGGCGGGCAAGAAGGGGGGTTAGCACAGACACCGGAGCACGTGCCTGGCTGAAGGGCCATGTGCCGTGGGCTGGCGGCACCTCGAGCTCACCCATCTGGGCCCGATGCTCAGGGGAGATGACGAAATCTCCCCCTGCGTGGCAGCCACCCACTGCCCTCCTCCAGAGCCCATCACCAAACCTCCCACCCCAGGCACGCAGCACCCCTGGCTGTGGGGTGCGGGGCGGGTGCCTCCGGCCCTGGGGAGCCCAGCTCAGCCCCACTGGGAGCCATGTCGGTCTTAGATGTGGTTTTTCCCTTCAGCACCCACCCAGGCAAGGGACCACTGTCCCCCAACCTCCCCACCCACCGCAGGGACCCCCATCACCTTCCAGCTCCCCCAGGTGAGTGGCCCCTGGGCCGCAGCGTCTCCGTACCTGGCTCTCCACCAGCATGGCCATGTCCATGAACATGTCGTGCAGCTCCCGGATGCTGTTCTCCAGTTTGATGATCTCGCTGTGCCGTGTCTCGATCTCATTCAGTGCCTGCTTGGTGATGTTTGAATCCATGATGATCTGCAAAGGAGACAAAGCAGTTGAGCACCATGCCGAGCCCCAGCTCAGACGCTGGGATTGGGGGCACCAAGAGAGGGACGAGAAGGAGCTCCAGAGCCCCTCCAACAACTCCAGCCAGGTAGTCTGCAGCAGGAAGCCAGGATGCAGGCTCTGCTCCAACAGCATCCTCAGGCCACACCCGAGCCTCTAGGGCCCCCTCCAGTACTGTGGTCACTGCGGCAGCACATCCACCTGCCCTGGGATAACGGGGCTGGCTCGGCTGCTTACCCCGGAGGAGAAGATGGCCGGGTTGCCGCTCTCCAGCATGTCCTCCAGCTCCTCGCTGGTGGTGGTCCTGCCAGCTGCAATGACACAACACGGGTCAGGGGGAGTCTTCTGTCCCCACCAGGAGTCACATAGTCCCACCACAGGGCTCTGCTGGTTCCTTGGCATTTCCCATGAGTGCAATGGAGCAAAGCTTCCAGCCCCAAGAGCACACCGGGCAGATCAAGGGGCTGCCCTCTCACTGCCCAACTTTGACACCCCTCTTTTTAAGGGGACTGAGCTGCCAGCTTGGCTCAGCTCACCCAGGAAAGCCCATCTGTTTCTCCTGCTCATGCTGCTCGTTCCTGCTGGGCAGCCAGCAGCATCCAGCTGGTGGTTGTGAAGGAGGAAGGATGGGGAGCAGCAAGCCACAAGCAGGAATGCTCTTGGCAAACCCCATCCTAGGCCAGTTCAAGGCCACGAGGACAACGGGCTCAGCTGGGCTGCCCAAGTTTTGGCCCTGCTGCTGTGTAACAGAAGCCAGGCTCTGTCCTTCCCCCTGTGGCACAGCCCTCCGTGTCCCTGGGATGGGACCTCCATGGCTCCTACAGGAGCAATTCATCCCCACGGACATGCTCCACACTGCTACAGAGCAGAGGGATGCTGATCACTCCATGGATGGCACTGATCCCCACATCAACTGCGGTGTGTTCCTCAGGCTAACAGCCACGTGGGACATGTGGAATTACACCTGAACAGATGGAGATGCTGGGCAAGGCACTGGGGCTGCCCAGTGGGATGGGCAGATGAGCAGGTCACCTGCAGAGAGGGCAGGTGACACTTCACCAGTGCGATGAGGAGCAAATGGGGCAGTTGGGCAGGAGGAGCTCATGAAGTGACTTCACCAAGCCCAATGAACCCAAAACCAGGAGGGCAGGGCTGGGGTCTGGTGCAGTGCTCCCCTGTGCCACGCTGCCTGCAGCCAGTCATTCTGAAAGGGACAACAGCATCCTCCAGGATGAGTCCAGGGCACCTCGGAGTGCAGGAATGGCACAGATTCACAGGCACAGGTAGCCTCCTGTGTGAGGCTGGGCTTGACAGCTACTACCTGTTCATTCCCCCAAACCCCTGAGAAGCTGCTATTTTGTGTCACAAGAACAACCTGAGCCCTGTCTGTGCCCCGTGGGAGCTCAGAGCTGCATATGAGGGCTGAGCTCTGCCATTGTATGCTCAGGGCTCAGGATCTCAGAATCTCAGGATCAATCACCCTCCCCACCTTCCCCAGCTCCGGGAAGGATCCACAGCCAGTTTCCAGCCACCATTACACATTTTGGGGTGACAGAGCATCACTACCACCAAGGGTGACCCACGACACCTCCTTGCCAGCCCTTCCTACCTGTTGGCTCCTCACTCTGGGCTGACACTGCCTTGCTTCCAGGAAGGGAGAACAAGGGCTCAAGTAGCACAAATTTACAAACCCTCCTGTTGATGTGCCCAGCTCTGAGCAGTCACTGCCTGATGACGAGGAGAAGCATGCCAGGTGGGCTACTCGCTCTGCCCAGTGCAGGCCCTGGAGACAGCCCCGAGGGCAAGTGGTGGGCTCAGCTCTAGGGGATGCCACGTCTCCCATGGGCAGAGGTGGGATAGGATGCAGGATACATGTTCTCTTCCTGTCTCTCACCACCTCCTCACTGCCTCATTCCCCTAATGCAGAGCACAGGGCTGGTAACAGCTGTGTCGAGGTGAAGGACGAGAGCAAAGACATCACATGGATTAACACCCAGCCAGCCTGGCCAAGGGCCATGGCTGGTCAGGAAGAACTTGCTTTAATGCTCAGCCAAAGCATAGGGCCTGGAGGCTGCACATCACCCACGCTGTCCAGCACAGCACCTGCCATAGAACCACATAACCAACCTGCAGGACCCCAAGGGTTTCCCAGGGAGGCTGCTGCCTCCTGTCCAGGTTTCCTGGTTTGGAAAAGCTGTCATTAGCTCCTCCACAGCAATAAAATCAGCTCAAAGCATGCTGGGTACCTGCCTGATCTGCTGCCCACATCACAGCCATGAACTGGAGTGAAAGGACAGAGGCACTGCAAAGGGAGAGGAGCCTGGGGGAACTCTACTGCCCAGAAACTTGGCAAAACACTGGAAAATCCTGAGAATTGGACCTGTGCCTCCCCCAGAGAGCTCCAAGGTACATTTGCTTCTTACTTGGCAACTCTAGAAATTAAAGTTTCCTGGGGAGAAGCAGCTCTGCCAACAAGACAAACAGCCCAGAGCTTGGTGGGAGCTGCAGCACATGGGGAGAAGCAACCTCAGCCCTGAGCTGGCAGGGAGAGAATGGCAAGAGAGAGTGCCCAGGGCCACTGGAAGTTCTGGGACAGGTGGACGTGAAGCCACTGAGGAGAATTCCCACCTCAAGGCACAGTCTTTGGCCCTGCAATGCCCACCTGGATGGAGTGACCGTCCCCATGGACCAGCTCCCAGGGGATGGGGCAGAGCGGCCCCAGCAGGGTGCGAGGGAAGCTCCCAGGGAAGCCTCCAGTGGCACAGCTCTCCCCCACCACCCAGCTGACGCCAGTTTGCCCGATTCTGCACACAGATGGCCTATAAATAGGGAAGACTCGAGGCACCTCAGGGCTGCAGGAGTCCAACACTGAATTAAAAGGGCTCAGCTGGGCTCCTCGGGCTGGCAATATCCCTCCTTCCAGTGGCAATATCCCTCCTTCCAGCAGCAGGGCTGCACGAGCACCTGCAGAGCCACAGCTGGGGCTCGGGCTGGACACACTGAGGCCAAGGCACCTTCCCAAGGCTGGGATCCTCTATCTGGAGCTGGCTTTTAAGCTCTCATTCGACTCAAATCCACACAACTCATGGAGAGATTGATAGTGCTGTCCTGTCTGCCCACATGTAAGAGCCACTGATGCACTTGGCTGTCCCCCAGCTCAGACAGGTCTGGCACTGCCCAAGCTGGTGTCAGGATGAGAAGGTTTCAGCTACAAAAACCCGCCCAGCATGTCACAAAGTGCCAACAACCTCCCCGGCCCTCAGGGCCCTTCTGCTCATCCTGGGCAGGGGTGGCAGGGCCAGTGGCCAGCACTGTGCCAGCATCTGCACTCAAGATAAATCCCGCAGTCGTTCCTGAGATGAAAGTGCCGCAGGAATCCTAAATCACCTCTGGAATCAGCCCTCCTGGCTCAGAGTGGGATGCACCCACAGCTCGTTGTTCTGCACACCAGTTCAGCTGGCCTGGCACAGCAGGGTGGGCACCAACGAATTCTCACAGTGCCCTCGGAGGCAGCAGATGCTTTATTTTGGGCTCCTCGGTCTTGCACATAACAAAACTGTTCCGAAAAACAAGAGGCGTCTGCGCAGCACCTCCAGAGCTTCAGCTGCACACCCACCACAGAGAGCTCCTCCAAGCTCCAAATCCAATTTCTCCGGGAGCAAACCCTAATTAGATTTAAGATATAATTTCTCCTAACGGACAAAATGGAGAGGAAAAAATGAGGGAGTGACAACTCCCACCACAGGCAGTGCAGGGGGGGACACAGCTCCCGGTAGCAGACAGGGGCCACGGTCCAGCCACTGCACATCTGTCCTGCTGTCACCAACCCCAGGACACGGAGCATCCTGCCATCCCTCCACGGTCATCCTGTGATTCCTCCGTGGCACCTGTGATGTTGGAGTGCTTGGGAACAGAGCAAAGTGAGTAAGGAGGGGGTGAGGCCAACGATTAAGGCTGAAGTAGAAGCAGTGGGAGAGGAGAGGGGAGGGGAGGGGATGTGAAGGGAGGGGAAGGAGATGGAAAGGGAGATGCAGAAGGAAAGGGAGATGGAGAAGGAGAGGAGAGATCCACTTCATCCCATTCTGGTTGGGCAGGGTGATGGTGATGGTCACTGAGGCACAACCTCTGGCACACACACAGACATGGCAGTGCTTACACAAGGAGAAGGGTCAGATCCTGAGAGGGCTGTGGGGAGCCCCAGGGGGTGACTATGGCCCGGGGCAGTGATTTCACATCACCAGCTCTGCAGCTGTCTTATTGCAGAGCCAGGAGCAGATGTGGTGAGGATGGAGGAGCTTGCTGGGCACTGGGGAGCCCCCCCAGAGCTGCTGAAAAGTCCCTGCTCTCACACTTCCAAAACCCGAGTGATTTACTGGCTTTGCTGTCAGAGCTCCCAGCACTTTCTATCTTTGGATCTCTCAGCTGAAAGTGAGAGCTGAGGATTTTGTGGAGCTTTAGTGCAGTCGCCACATCCCAGCTGAGCTCTGCTCCAAAGAGCCTGCGCAGGAGCCCCCGGAGCAGCCGGAGCCGAAGGCATTGCCTGGGACACCCCAGGCCAAGTAGAGCCCCAGGCCAGGCAGTAAAACCTCCATAAGCTGTTCCTTTTGATGAGCCTTTCTGCCAGGAGAGATTTCCCGCTGTCCGGATGTGGGAATCCCACCTGGACTGCACAGAGGACTGTGTCCCTCCCCAGCACAACCCCATCCTGCCTCTGCACCTGGGCCACAACTCCATCCCAAAGGGAATGCAGGTCTCTCGCTGTCAGGAACTGGGACACCTCCCCTGCATCCCTCACTGCTCCACAGGGAACCCTGAGCAGCCCTTTTCCTGCAGCCATCAGGCTCTGTCAGGCACCGGCAGCCCGGCAGGACAGACAGAGCAAACACAAGTATAACTTGATGTATCTCCAGAATTTAAGCAGAGCAGCAAAGTCCTTCCAAAATCCAGTAGGAAAACAAGAGGAAGGTTTCCTTCAGGTCTGCAGCCAATCAGGGATATGGCTGAGTCCTTCCAAATCTCCTCTCTCAGAGGGAGGCACAGGGATACCTTAAATTCCTGTTCACATGACAAGCCACCCCTCGGCTGTCACCTGCAGGATGACGTTTGCTGATGGATGAGTCAGGCAGCTGGAGCAGTGACACATCATCCTGCTTTACAGCAAACTGGCAAGCTCTTGTTGAGCCTCATGTCAGTCAGCCTTCCCATCCAGCCACCCTGGAACAGCCCTGTTACTGTTATACATCAGAAAGACTAATTTTAACAGAGGCTTGCACAGCTGAGTCTCCCTCGAGCCCTCCACAGAAACCCCACAGCACCCAGATTTCCAGGCATCCCAGCCCATGAAAGACATTCCCACAGGAGACCACCAAGGACACCACTCTGACTCACAGACCTCCTGTCATCATTCACGCTGAGTTGTTGAAAGGAAGAAAAACATCCATTTGGTTGTGAGATTAAAAAAAAAGGACTAGGATTCAGATCCTTCCATTCTGAGCACAAACCCCACGACACCTCTGACAATGAGATTATTTACAAAAATCTCTTTAAATCTCTGCATGCCCTGACTTTCCCCTTGCTTATTCTCCTAATTACGGTGGTGACATGGTTATTCCTTGCTGGGAGATGATCCCATTGCTCTAAAACTATCCAGGTATGACTGACTGCCCGGCAGAACCATCAGGAGAGTGTTTTGTGGACAGGTAGGACCAGACTTATCCTGGACGATGGGCTCTGGATGACTCAGAGAGATCATAGTGCCACGGTGGTGTCACCTGGGTGAGGTATCACCAGCCTCAGAGGTGTCACCTGGGTCCCTCCCTTGGACAGAAAACAACATTACTGCCGCTAAGAGCCATCAGGTCCTGGGTTCTGGGAGGTGCCTGGGGCAGGCACTGAGGCTCCTGCTCCTCCTGTGCAAGGCAAACCGCTGGGAGCAGGGAGTGCTCCCATCTCAAGAGCTCCCTTCTCTGCTTTCATGTTTAGCCCACTTCAGCCATGATGAAGAGCACCCCGGGGAAGGGCAAGGCACACATGGGAGGTAGGAATTCCCATGAGCTCCTCTGAATTAAAAACGAGCTGCAAACAAGGAAGATATTCCTCTCCCTGTGCTCCCGGTGCTCTCTCCGCAGCATTTCGGGATGTGCTTTGCTGGATGTGCTTTGCCACTGAAACTCAGGGTATCACCCCCTGTCCATCTCCCACAGGAGCCGTGTCCCAGTCACACCCATGGGCCCCTCTGCACCCTGCGTTTTCCAGGGGAGCTCTACCCAGTTGCAGGAGCAGCTCTGATCCATCAGGAGCCAGTGCAGGACGTGGCCCCATGGCACACACAGCCCAGCTGTGTTCCCACTCCAGGTTTACTTACTGATCTCCAGCTGCCTCTGGATCCTGCCCTTGCAGCGCTCCCGGTAGTCGGTCTGCGTGGCGTTGTACTCGGACATCACCTCCACGAACTTGCGGGACAGTGTGGAATGCTGTGGAGGGGACAGGAGGAGAGAGGGGGGTGAGGATCCTGCAGGAGGGAGAGCCCTGCCATCCCCGTGGCAGGGAAGGCTCAGTCCTGAGCACCCCCTGCACCTCCAGCCACCCCAAAGGCATTTCCAGCCCAAACGCTGCTCTGGAGAGTGTGACAGAGCACCAGGGGGGAGGTGGCAGCAGGTGACACCCCTCAGCCTGAGCACAGCCTCCAGCCCCTCAAAGGACACCCTGGGGTGGTTGGCAGCACCCTCCTCACACCACTTGTGCCCAAGCAAACTGTAGCTGAGGCCAAAGCTGCTCAAAGTCACAGAATCACAGAATCATTTTGGTTGGAAAAGGCCTCAGAGATCATCAGGTCCAACCTGTGCCCAATTCCCACCCTGTCCCCCAGCCCAGAGCACTGAGTGCCACATCCAGTCATTCCTTGGACACCCCCAGGGATGGGGACTCCACCACCTCCCTGGGCAGCCCCTTCCAATGCCTGACCATCCTTTCCATGGAGGAATTCTACCTGATATCCAACCTGAACCTTCCCTGGAGCAACATGAGGCTGTTTCCTCTTGTCCTGTCCCTTGTTCCCTGGGAGCAGAGCCTGACCCCCACCTGGCTCCAACCTCCCGTCAGGGAGTTGTAGAGAGTGAGAAGGTCCCCCCTGAGGCTCCTTTTCTTCAGGCTGAGCCCCCCCAGCTCCCTCAGCCACTCCTCATATGACTCATATGACTCTCTAGACCCTTTTCCAGCTCTGTTGCCTCTCTCTGGACAGTCTTTGCCCATCATGGGAACAGTGACTGCCAGACGTGCCTGGTGCCACCAGCACTCAGCCGTGTTGGTGCAGGTGCTGTCACACCTGGAGCAGCCCCAGCCAGCACAGCCAGGAGACAGCACTGGAGACATCTCAAGGATACACTTGGATTTGCTCTGCAGCTATTCTGAGCCAGCAGCAGCACAGTATTTATGGCACAGCCTCAGCCTCAGCTCATCTTCTCCCTCTTCCACCACAAACCTCACACGAACGCCCCCGGCAGCTCCGGTTCCAGCCTCTGCTCCAGAGGTGCTGGCCCAGAGCAAGGTCAGAACAGCTCCTGAGCATCTCAGCTCAAAACCCAGCAATGCCGTGATGTGCCATCCAAGGGACTCTTCTGCCTTTCCAAAACTGTTTTTCCTAAAATCCACTTCATTCTCATTCAGCTGAAAACTACCAACCTATGCTGATCTGCAGCCAAATATAGCCTGGGTGCTGAGTGACACCCTTCCTGCTCACCAGCACACCACGCTACACCTCTTTTGCTTCAGAAGTTATTTAACTCAGTGTTTATTTTCTCAGATTGCTATTTTATGTTCCCACGGGCATCCCACATGTCTACAAAATGCATTTGATTTTTGAAGGAACACGGAGTTTCATGCGAAATGGGCTGGAAAAAAAGCACTTGAGATGGCTTTCAGTTATTAAATAAAGCTACCTGAATATTCACAGCAAATCAAATGCATACCAAAATGTACCTTGTGTTTGAAAGAAACTCATTAAACAGAAAATATTAACTACAGTTAGGAAATGGGGCTGTTTCACCCGGAGCCAGCAACTCTTCACTCCTCAAATGTGGGGAAGGTAGCCCAAGCCAGAGAAACTGTGGTTGTCCCATCGCTGAAAGTGTTCAAGGCCAGGTTGGACGGGGCTTGGAGCAACCTGGGCCAGTGGAAGGTGTCCCTGCCCACGGCAGGGGGTTGGACTGGATCATCTTTGAAGGTCCTTTCCAACCACAGCAGAGCTCTGCCCATGCTGGGTCCCTCCAGGAGGGACAGCAGAGCTGCCTGCAGTGGGACTCGCTGCTCTCCTGCTACTGCACCATCCTTTGGTTCTGCTGTGCCCCAGAAATTCCCTGTCCCACCTGCCCTAGAGACAAGTGGGCCTTTCCCTTGCCCCAGCTTTGCAGAGTGTGGAGCTGGAGGGTGCTGGGGTTCCAGCTGGAAGCTGCCTCTGCAGAGGTGATCTGTTATCATCACTGCCATATCGATCCAGCAGCGACTGCGGATGGCAGAGCAGGCTCTGTGAGTGGCTTCCCAGACTAAGAGGGAGATAAACAAACTATAAACACCAGAACTCTTTCAGCACCACTGCAGAGTGTGCAGAAAGCAGGACTTTTACTGAGCTGTGTGTGTGCAGGACCCCTGTGAGAGCCGCAGATCCACATCTGGATCCCACCCCAGGTGATGAAGAGCAACACTGGCAGCTCCTGTTGCCTTTATCCCTTTAATAATTTGCTAAACCCCACTCTTGGCTGCAGAGCAAGGCTCTGAGATGCTTTGTCTTCACCCATATCCCCCAGACCAGGCACTGCAGTGACAAAGGGGCAGATTCCAGGCTGGAGCAATGGCTGCATCCCCCCGGGGTGCTCTCTCACCAAAGCATCACCAGAAGGTAAAAAAAACTACACAGCAACCCTGCACGGTGGGGGAGGAGACAGAGCTTCACCCAGAGAAGGCTGTTCTATAGCCAAGCACAGCCCACCTCTCCCAGCACCTCCTGGAATCCCTCAGCTGCCAATTCCCATCCTCCTGGTGCCAGAGGGCAGAGACTCACCTGAGTTTTCCTTATCCGTAGGTCGGCCGATGACCTGTTCAGTCCTTCCTCTTGTTCAATACTCTGCTCAATACCTGGTTGGGGTAGAAGGACACAGATTATTTTGTGCTGTTTGGAGAAGAATCACAGCATCAAGAAGGTTGGAAAAGACCTCCATGATCATCAAACCCAAACTTCGACCTCATGCCCACTAAAGCACAGCACCAAATGGCACATCTACTGATTTCTGAACACTTCCACTTCCCTGGAGAGCCTGTTCCAATGCCTGACCAAAGAAAAGGGATTGTTTGGCAAAGGGACTGTGAAAGACTGAAGCCTTTGGATCGAGGAGTTCCCAGCTCCTGACTCCAGCCTGACATTCAGCCTGGTCTGGCAGCAAAGCCCCATTTCACGGTTGCAAAACAGCCGGTGCCTGCCCACTGGCTGAGATTTGGGGCTGTCAAGGGCAGCACTGTCATTCCCAGGCAGGTGAGCCAGGATTTCCACACAAAACTGGTACGATGCTCAGGTCAGTACTCAAACCAAATGGAGAGTTGTTTCACCCAGTGACTCAGGAGGAGGAAACCCTGAGCTAAAATGTCTCTGCAAAATACCAAACCTCAAGACTTCTCCAGGGACCTTAAAAATAGCAGCTCCTCCAGCTGCCCAGCCTGGCACAGGGAGGACTCACCAGGCTGGCAAGAATGCACTTCACCATGCTGAGCAGCCCTGCAGCAGGGCAGGGATCTGCCCCTTTAATTATGCAGCTAACTGAGATGAAGCCCTCACTGCCCAAAGCCCATGAATCATGTCAGGGAGGAGCAGTACCCCACGTCTCACCATGGTTTGGGCAGGGAGAGGGCACAGGACTGCAGGGCAGGAGGGTTGGCACAGATGAGGGCAGTGCAATCCTGCCCCATCCCTGGAACTGTCCAAGGCCAGGTTGGACAGGGCTTGGAGCAGCCTAATCTAGTGGAAGGTGTCCCTGCACATGGCAGTGGGGTGGAACAAGACGGTCTTTAAGGTCCCTTCCAACCCAAACCATTGCATCCTTTAGGATTCTACGAAACCTTCTCCTCAAGGCCAGCTCAGGACCTGCTAATTCAAAGACTTAATTTCAGGGACTCATAAAGCCTGGAAGGAAGCTCCCATCAGGAGGCTGGCCAGCCTGCAGGTGCACACATCTCCATGTAAACCACCAGGTGTGAGCTGGTGGCATCCCCTCAGTGAAGACCCCATTCCCAATGCTGACGTTCCATAGCTCTCTGAGCCTGGCTGTTCCCAGCACCTTCCCCACTGGAGCAAGTCCCTCAAGCCCAGCATGGGGCAGGTTCCTCCTGCAGCAGAGGCTCCCCATTCCCTGGAGCTGCCCCATCAACCTCCAGCACAGCTCAGTGTATTCCATCAGCAACTGGGCTTCCTCCACCCTCATCACAAACCCATTCCCAAGGAACAGTATTGGCAAACACTGGGCATTGATGATAATTAATAAAATCACATTTTCCCAAGAAGCTGGTAATTAGAATTAGCCCCTGCATGAGCAATATCTGGCCTGAAGAAGTCAGTTTGTTGTCAGCAGATGTTGTTTTGGATCAGTCCTGACTGTTTTCTGTCATTGATCATGCTGGCCACGAGGCGATTTGGGACAAAGCACAAGGACTAATCATCCTCTGCTCCAGGTAAACATGATACCAGGGAGTCTTTTCGGGAAGCAGAAAACAGGAATTGGAGCCTGTCCTGCTATCCTTCAGGCTCTCAAAGCCTCTTAAAAAACACCAAACAAAACACTAATGGAAAATGATTTTTGTTTTGCACAGGCCAAACCCTGTCACCAGGGATCCCAGGGCCATGGGAATGGATCCCCCAGACTATGAAATGGGTAAGATGGCCCCTGGCTCTCCTTCCTGGCTCTGGCTGAGATCCTGTCAGGAGGACAGAGGACAATGGAGGTACAGGTCTCCTTCTGGCACACACGTGGGACACGGCCATGCCAGTGGTGACCAACCCAACAAACAGCTCCAGCTGTATCTGAGTGAGTCCTCCAGGACTGCGGGTCTCCCATGAAACCTTGGGATTAGTGAGGACACTGCTGCCATGGGATAAGCACCAGCTCCTCTCCCACCCTTCAGACAGCCAGGTCTCCTGCACCAACCTCAACCAAATCCCACCCTGGTGTCCAAGACTACCAGAGACAAATCCAAGCTGCACCAGGGTGTCCTCACTGAGCCCCTGAATCCCCTGGGGTCCAGTCATGGAATTCTGGGCTCATCTGAGTGCTCCAGCACAACCCTGTCCATCAGCAGGCTGACACTCACATTGTTCTCACTCCTCACTGTCAGACAGACTGACTGACTGTTCCAGCGGTGGAAAATGAAGGTCAAGTCCTGCAGCACGTCCCACAGCAGCACCTCTTCACCCACCCAGCCCTCGAGCCCACCCTTTGGCTGTGCCAGGGGTTTGCCCAGAGCCCAACACCTGCCAGGGGTGGTGGCACAGGACTGGCTTGGACCCCACCAGGTGCTCGTGGCCCCATTCCCTCATCTCCATCCTGGGAACAGGGCACAAGGGGGCAAATTCACAAAGGGCAAATAAAAGCAGCTGGAGGGTGCAGGGGGAGGGCGGGTGATGCCCATCCCTGGGTGCACCCCCTTCTCAGGATGGGAGTGCTCTGGGCAGAGCCCCACAGCTCCATCACAAGCCAACACTCACTCTTTAGCTTGGAGCGCACTTTGTTCGCCGTCTTCTTTATGTCAGACATCAGCTCTTCCAGCTCCTCCTTCGTTTCTGGGGAGAAAGAGCAACATGGATGCGTTGGAGACACTGCAAAAATCTGCTGCCCAGCCCCGTGGTGTGTGGAGACCAGAGCTGGGAGCACTCTCACCCTCTGACTGGGAGCACTCCCACCTCTGCACTGGAAGCACTCCTGCCTCCAGACTGGGAGCACTTCCAGCTCCAGACTGGGAGCACTCCCCCCACCTACACTGGGAGAACTCCCACATACAGACTGAGAGCATTTCCAGCTCACACTCCATGCTGGACTCTCCTCACAGTCCTGAGACCCCCCTGAAGCTGCCTCCAGCTCTGGGGTCCCAACACAGGACAAGAGGGTTAAACTGAACAAGGCTAGGGTCAGGTTGGACACGGGGAAGAAATGTTGGACCACGAGGGTGGTGAGGCCCTGGCACAGGTTACCCAGAGAAGCTGTGGCTGCCCCATCCCTGGAAGTGTCCAAGGCCAGGCTGGACAGGGCTTGGAGCAACCTGGTCTAGTGGAAGGTGTCCCTGTCCATGGTGGGAGGATTGGAATTAGATGGTCTTTAAGGTCCCTTCTAACCCAAACCATCCTGTGAGTCTGATCTCATCCAAGTTCCTCTCCCAGAAACCAGCATGTCCTTGATGGAGCCAGGATGTGCAGCCGTGCCCCACACCACCCTGTGCTCCAGAAACTCTGCAGCCTCAGACACAGCAGGGCTGGAGCAGGGACACAGCCCTGTGCCCAGCATTCCAGTACTCAACTGTGCCCTGCCAGTGCAGCTCTCCCTGCTGCCACCCCAACACTCCCTCTTGATTTTGATGAGATCAAGACTTAATTAAATAAAACATTGTTTAATATAGCTGAGGCACACAGTCATGACTGAGTCATGTCAATGGCTCCGATGCCAGCTGCCAGTCACAGGCATAATTAGAAAATCCTGATGATGGCAATGTGCTGGGGGAAGGTCCCATCGTACCAGAGGCTGTACACATTCCTGACCCAGAGCTATGAACTTCGGCACTATTGGGAAAAGGAGAAAAGGGACTCATCTGTGAATTCCTTCACCCCCCAATATTTGCTAGAGAATGAGCACAAATGCAGGGACAGGAAGAGGATATTTTCAGTTTGAGTTCTCATTTAAGTGACTAATTATCTTTTTTTTCCTGTTCTTGAAAGAATTTGTAAAAATAAGAAGTAAATAAATAATAAGAAACAGTAATAATAAGAAATTAATAATTGTAATAATGAGGAATTAATGATTGTTTCTTAATAAAGCAACGAACCAGCCTGGGCTGAATAACTCCCTGAAACCATCCAGGCTGGGGAAGCAGACAAGGACCCAGGACTGCCATGCACACAAGGATGAGCTGGGAGTTGGGACTGTCCACCTGGAAAGCCAAGGGGGTTCCTACTGCTGCCTGCAACTGCCTTGTAGGAGGGAGGGGAGAAGCTGGGGCCAGGCATCCTGCTGGTCCTTGGAAGTGACCTTCAGCTTTCTGCTGAAGCTTGATGGTGCACAGGGACAGGACAACCAGTGGTGGACCAAGCTGGGACAGCAAAATGCAAATTAGATATTAGAAAAAACAACGGTCATGAAGGCAGTCAAATACTGGACCCAGAGAGGCTGTGGGACATCCTTCCTTAAGGATACTCCGCATGTGGCTGAGCAACCAGATCCAATGGACTTGCTGGAGGGGACTGGGCCAGGGACCTCCAAGGTCCCTTCCCATCCATATCCCCTTCCCACCCATATCCACCCTCGATCCTATTAAACAATTTCACATAACTCACTGCCTTGTACTTTTCCTTCTTCCTGTCAAACTGGGCTGAGGGATTCTCCCCCTCTACTCTGCCCTCATCAGACCCCACCTGCAGTGTTGCCTCCAGCGTGGGGGCTTCCAACATAGGAAGGACATGGAGCTTCTGGATAGAGTTCAGAGGAGGCCACAGAGATGTTCTGAGGACTTGAGCCCCTCTGCTCTGGAGCCAGGCTGGGAGAGCTGGGGGTGTTCAGCCTGGAGAAGAGAAGGCTCCAGGGAGACTTCAGAGCCCCTTCCAGTACCTAAAGGGGCTCTAGGAGAGCTGGAGAAGGACTTGGGACAAGGGATGGAGGGACAGGACAAGGGGGAATGGCTTCCCACCGTCAGAGGGCAGGTTTTAATTAGACATTAGGAGGAAATTCTTCCTTGTGAGGGTGGTGAGGCCCTGGCACAGGTTGCCCAGAGAAGCTGTGGCTGCACCATCCCTGGAAGTGTTTCAAGGCAGGCAGGACGGGGCTTGGAACAACCTGGACTAGTGGAAGGTGTCCCTGCCCATGGCAGGGGGTGGGATGAGATGATCTTTAAGGATCCTTATGATCCCATGATACACTGCCATGACGCTGCCACTGAGGATGCACAGGGCAGGTAGTGAGCACAGTCCTGTGGTGGCCACTCAGGATGGGGACAGGACCACACAGAGGGATGCAGGGGACAGGGAACAAGAGCTGGGTGCCTTCCTCAAAATATTTCCAACTGAGCAGCAGGGAGAACTCTCCTTCTGGCTGGCTTTGAGTCACAGGCCGTGTGAGGATTACTTGGCGGCCTGGCAGGCACAGGCTGCCCAGACAATTATTTTCACATCCACGGCATCTGTTTAAGTGACTCACTCAGATCTATTTAACCATTCCCAGAGAGTGACATCCAGCCACGGGAAGCTCAAGTACCACAACATTGTCACGCTATGGTCGGTGTCACCCCACGCCAGAACGGCACTGAGGGGGGAGAGGGGATGTTTCGGGGGATGGGTCAGGCTCCCCACATCCCACAGCCCACCTGGAATGTCTGCTCTGCTGCAGCAGGAGCAGGGATGTCCCCATGGCCACCAGCACGTGGGGCCACGTCCCTGGTCCCCGCTGGGAGGGAGGAGGAGGCTTTGGTCCAAGGTCAAGTCTTATGCCCCCGAGAAGCCCCAGGGCCTGCTGTGACCTTGTCCAGGAGGCAACCCAGGCAGTGCAGGGGAGGCAGGGGTGCAGGCAGGGGTGCAGGTAGAGGTGGGAGCTCTTTCTCCTCCCTCTGCCAGCAGCAAATGGGGCACCTGTCTGGCAGAGAGCAAACACCCAGCCCAGGCTGGTAACACTGCAGGCAAGCACGCAGGAGCAGGCAGGCAGGAACAGGCAGGAACACGCAGAATCAGGCAGGCAGGCAGGCAGGAACAGGCAGGCAGGAACAGATGGGCAGGAGAAGCAGGCAGGCAGGATCAAGCAGAAGCAGGTAGGAGTAGGCAGGAGCAGCAGGAGCAGCAGGCAGGAACAGGCACACAGGCAAGCTCCATCAGGAGCAGGCAGGTGCAGCAGTCAGGCAGGCAGGAGCAAGCAGAAATGGGCAGGAGCAGGCAGGAGAGCAGGCAGGAGCAGGCAGGCACAGTCCTCCACCCCTCACAGTGAAGGGCAGGTGCTGTCCCTACCCACTGCAGCTCCCCTGGGCATCACAGTGACGGTGACTCTGCTCACAGGGTGCTCAGCCTCGAGCTGCCTCACTCCTTTTTGGGACTAAGAAATCTTTACCTCTGCAACCTGCAAGTCTTTACTGACAGCAACCAACCGACGTCATCGAGAAAGGCACAATTCCAAACTAATTTCCAGCTGAGTTACCTGGCAAAGCTGGGAAGAACAATCTTTTTGGCAAAGACTTAGTTCTTTCAATAAAAAAATGAAAGAAGATCCTGAGCACAGTTCCTTGAAGGAAATTAAAAAAAAACAAAAACCTTTCTTGTTTATCTTGGCACTTCCATTTACTGAATGTTGAGTATTTTTAAAGGTGAATGCAAAGAGGAAGCACAGACCTGGAAGCCCCACAGTGATCTGATGTCTGGAAGCAAACCATAAGGAATCCCTTCTAGGGATCTACAGAATTGGCTGAAACATTTTCCACAGTGTTTCATGGCCTTAAAGCAGTACAAATGAAACCTGTTGTAAAAGCCACCAGGGAGGAGATTGGCTAGAAAGGTCCTGTACCTGGGTCAGGGCAATCCCCTGCACCAGCACAGACTGGGGGATGGATGTATGTAGGGATGGATAGGGGGATGGATGGAGAGCAGCCCTGTGGAGAAGGACGTTCCAGTTGAAGTTCAATTTGCCAAAAGACATTTGGGACATCAGTGACCTCTGTGCAGTCCTTCAGTTCCCAAAGGCTGACGTTTATTCTTGGAAACAGAGCTCAGAGCCTGACATTGAAACTTATTTATTCAAGCTACGGAAAACAAGAAGAAAATCATCAGACACTGACTCAACCCTTCCCGAATTTTCTCATTTTTTCAGCTCTTTACAGCACAACCATCTGCAGCAGGTGTGACAGAATAGGGAGCAGGCAGAGGGGGGACAGGAGAGAGCTGCTCCAAGCAGAGCTGGGGCTGCCCCTGCCACAGAGGAGTGACACAAGGAGCTCCAGCTGCCTGCTGAGCTGCAGAAATAGGACACGGAGAGGTCATCCATCTGCCTTCGCCAGGAGCGAGGGCACGGGAGACATCCAGTGCCATCAGGAAGGACCAGCAGCCCTGGGATTTTTAACTTCCTGCATGCCAGGAGGGACAAATCTTGCTCGAGGTGCAGCAAGGAGAGGCACTGCCAGGGTTCAAGGTCAGTGCAAAATGTCACTAGGCCTTTATACAGGAACAGAACAGAGATGATGCACAGAAGGGACTGAAAAGCTTTAGGGATCCCCTGGGAGGAAAAGTGTTCCCTGAAATGCCTCGTCTGTCCACCTGTATTTTGTGGAGGCCAACAATAGATTAAATTGTAGTTTTTGACTTTTGACATCCACCACTGCCCTGTACAGCCTGTGCCAGAGCTTAACCACCCTTTCAGTGAAGACATTTTCCCTAGTATCAAACCTAAACCTCCCGTGGAGCAACTTGAAGTTATTTCCTTTTGTCCTCTCTCTTGTTCCCTGGGAACAGAGCCCGACCCTTCCCCTGGCTCCTCCCTCCTGTCAGGGAGTTGCAGAGAGTGAGAAGGTCCCTCCTGAGCCTCCTTTTCTCCAGGCTGAGCCCCC